AATAAGAAGACAATTAAACCTTTGATGTACTTCAGACAACGTTTTAGTCTTTTCACATATAAAGCTTTCATATTGTCTTACTAAGTTTATCTTCCTCGATTATTGTACCTGAGAGGTACCTTCATATTGAACACATAGAGTGTCCCACATGGTTTTTGAGGTCCTAAGCTTCATCACAGAGTGATAGACCTCGTTAGGAAGAGACATAACTATTATAGATCTCGCACGAGTATCTATAGCTATCTTCTTCTTGTCTTCTTCACTCCATTGATAAGGGAGCTTAGGAATCTGTCGTTCAGAAATCGTTGCAATCATAGCTGTTTCACGAACAGCCGGAGATATAGCATATGGAACATAAGGCCCATTTTCTATATAGTGTGGGATCTCATGATCCACACCTTCCAAGAAAAGCGACATCGGATTTTTCCAGAGACTAAAGTTGTCTTTAATAAATCGGGGAGGTTTGGCAAGGGAGTCATTATCGTGAAAGTTTATGCTTGTGTTTTGCAAAGCCATTTGAAAAGCAATAAATTATCTAGAGAGAGAGGGATAATAAAATCCAGATAAACAACTAAACAAGACGAAAAGAAAACACTAGTATGATACCACTTGTTGGCCCCAGCCGGGTCTACAAGAGTTTTAGACGAACAGTTTGTAGATGGGGGGATGAATACAAACAGAGAAAAAACTTTCATATTTAAAAATATATATTGATAGAGAAAGAGCAAGACATATTTTTGTAGATTGTTTGTGGAAATAGACAAGGTAAAGATAACCTATCTAAAACAATCTAAGTTTACACACAAATATACTTAGCAAAATAGAAAAAATTTGCTGAAAGATAAAGACAGAAAGATTTTCTTCTTGGGTAAGAACTTTAGAATACTTAAGAGGGTTTCTAACTTGTTTGAAGATAAGCGTAAGTGTTCTTTTTAGATGTGTGCATATATACGTGTGTTCTTTGCATGGAGAGAGCACTCATCTATTTATACACATTGCATTAAATGCAAATCAGAAGGGTTTGAACACGCGTCAAGCTTTAAGAGGAAAACTTGTTCTTTGCTACAATGAATAATATAAATGTCTATTAATGAACAGACATCCTTTCATGGAGTTGGTGGGAACTAGAGTCGACTAGTCGGCTCCGTGCTGTATTGTACTCTAGAAAGAGTATGAATTTATTCTTTGTGTGTAGAAAGACAAGATAAAAACAATCTTGTACAAAAACAATCTTTCATTCCAATTATTATTATTGCTCAAAGGTGGTAATCATTTGGAAACTATGAGATACTACTATATTATTTATTAATAAAATCATTTAACATATTAACTAAGGGGTATTGTAGTTTAATAATTACCAAATAAAATAAATTTACTCAATTCCTAAATTCCCTCCCCCTTTTTGTGAAATAAGTTACCAAATAAAATAAAGCCTACTAAATCCTATTACTCGTGGATAACTTTTTGTCGTTTTTTGTTTTTTTACTCAATTATTCAGTAAATCTTAAAATCACCAAACCAAATCAATTAGATTATTAATATCTATACTATATTATAAAGTATTTGACAAAAACTCTTAAAAACTATTTTTTATGCGTAAAGTACTATTTATTAATACATATTATTTAAAACTCAATATTGCAAGTAGATTGTGCGTAAGTACAACTTATTAAAGCTCCATATATGAATTCGTGTAACTAACTGCAGATAAACATAATTAAATACATGATAAACATATCATTTTAAATATAAAAAATCTAAAATATAATTAGGATAAGCATTGAGTTCTAACAGAATACTTAATTATTATATTTATAAAATGTTATATTATTAAACTAAAAATAAATTATTTTATTATTAAACTTAAATTAAAT